TTTTATTGTTTTCCTTTCTGCTAGACACTCAGCCGGAGTTGTACCATCCAATGAAAAAAGGTTGGTCTGTCAAAGATGTTCCCTTTAAGACCTCCATTCCTTTGCACTTCCCCCATGTGTCGGGAGGCTCATTTTCTGTTTCATACCATCACCTGAGATTTTTCCACCTCATTTCTCCAGATGTGGCTGTGAGGGGAGCCAGAGTGGCCTTGGGTCCAGCACTTAGAATCTGGTGTCAGTGGTACTGGTTACAAGGTGCCCATCTTAAACTTTCCTTCTGGATATCCAGAGAATACAGAGTAATCAAAACAGATATTTTTATGAGACATTTCTTCTGGGTAGATTTTTTTTTTTTTAAGTTCATTTATTTTGAGAGAGCAAGAGAGCGTGAGTGGGGGAGGGGCAGAGAGCGAGAATCTGAATGAAGCAGGCTTTGCGCCCATCTCACAAACCAAGAGATCTTGACAGCTGAAACCATGAGTCAGACACTTAACTGACTGAACCACCCAGGCGCCCCTCATCTGGATAGATTTTTAAATGTATATTCAACTTAAACAGGTTGGGTGGAATTGCTAGTATATTTGAAAATATGCTTAATTTAGGGGCAGGTGGAAGTTGGTTCCTTTTACCTCTTCCCCCCCTGCCCATCCCCCCCACTGCTCCACTACATCTTGCCCTTTCCTTTCAGCTGTACCCAGCCCTGTGTCTGTGCCCACCTGTCTGTCGCCACTAGTCTTCGTCTTGACTTTAGCATTACTCAAACACTTAGAAGCTGATGGATGGAATGGGTTGTGACAAGTGGACTCTGGCTGTGTGGTAGTGAGTGTCCAAGCTTCAGAACAGGCTGGGACTGTGTAAGCGCCACGCCGAGTGCCTCGCGTACGTGGCCTCACTTCATGCACTGAGCACACCTACTGGCCGGGGCTTTAGCTCTCTCTGACAGATTAGGCAGTTGGAGAAGCCTCAGACTGCATGATTCGCTCAGAGTCCTGACTGTAAGAAATGGAGGAATCCGAACTCAAACCCAGTTGCTTTGTCTTCAGAGCCTATGCAGTTTCTGTCACATAAAAGGCCGCTGCATTTCCCCAGCCTGTTGGTGGTCCACAGTCCCAGGGTCATTGTGAATAAGTGCATATGCTTCATGTTCTCAGTGTGTGTTTTATGAGCCTGCTGACTTTGACCAGCTGTGGATGCACCACACGGTGTTCTCTAAGAATTTGATGTTGTGGTTTGTGCCACGGCTTTTTCTCAGAAGAGTGCAATTTCAATCTTGTAAAGATCACTTCTGTGTTAAATGCTTGGTTTTATTCTACCTGGATATGCCTCTTCTTGGAGGTGACTCTGAACCATGCATCCTAGGTATTTACAGATAAAGATGAATTTCCTGGAAGCTTACCTGGCTTTCACCCACATACTTCAGTTGTTGTTAGTTGGAATAATTTAAACATTAACTTTTGTTTTCTTAACATCACTTGATTATGCCTTTTATAAAAGCAAGGTGGTTTGGGTCAGTGTTGAAGAGAACACGTGAGTTTCACCACCAAAGGAATATTGGAACAGTCTAGACTGGTCATAGGACTTTAAATTAGTTGGTTCAGTGCCGTGTTATTTCTCATGTAGGATTCTGCCCTCTGACCTTTAAAATCTGGAGGAGGAGAGAGAAAGTGATGGAAGGGTTAGAATTTACTAGGCTTGTTCATCCACAACCTTGCTGAGACAGCACCTTTCTAGATTCTTCTTTCTCAGTCGAAGTGCACTATTGCTGTTTCAGTGGCATTTTGAGACTATAAAAGCCAGGCCTGATTTAACTTACCCTAGAATCAAGTTGGGAAATTGCTCTTTAAGGTGAAAACTTTAGGAAAAAACAGTGTTATTTTGGGCTGCCTTCTGATGGGTGAACGCATTAGCTAGCCCGCACGTTCCACACCTGCAGCAGCTGTTACTGGTGGTTCCGTGTCAACAACGAGCCTGGTTGTGAGCCAGAAGGCCTTGCTGTGGCCGGGCCTAGTGTCATTGGCTCTGGCAGGCCCGGGGACAGCAGTGCTTGGCATTTACTCATGTTTGAGTCCTACTCACATGCAGGTGATCACCTTAGAATGAGGAGTGTGCCATCCAGTTGATCTGTTTATAAGAGGTTCAAATTGTGGACATTTATATTGAACTGTGTATCTTATTAATGAAAAACTCATAGAGTAGGTAGAAATCACGTGCTTTCTGAAGCTAAAATAAGGAGGATCGCTCCTCACTTTTCCTCTGCCTGGGTTCGTGCTGGGTTCAGTCGAACCGCATCTTTGGATGCTGTCATTTGGAGTGCCACACACAAGTGATGTCGGCTCTGGCGATGTCTGACCTTGACAAGAGGAGTGTGGCTAGTCTTGCTCCCTTTACAGAAAGGAACCTTCCACCCTCGTGTTTGAATTCTCCCTGTCTGTGAAATGCTTCCTTCCTGCTCATTCTTGAATGACCACTGAAAATGTGACATCTGTGATCCAGGCCCTCAGAGGGTTGCAGGCTAGAGGGAGACACAGAAGAAAATGAGGATAAACAGTGATTTCGAGTGCTGTAAGCTGGGAATGTCTCCCAAGAGGAGCTGCAGCTTGAAGGACAACTAGGAAGGGTTGGAGGTCAGGGAGGGTATTTCAGGCAGAAAGAATTGCCTGTGGGATAAAATAAGATGCTTGAGACAAATGTGCACATTCATTGCTGGTGTGATGGTTCTTCCATCCAAAGGGAGCGAGCACAGAGTGTTGAAGGAGCAGGTTGTGGGCTTATAGGCACTCGGTAATATCACATACGGGTATTACATGTTTTTCTGTGCTAGAATGCCTCTGAACTCCACTTCTGTTTATCTTACAATAAACATTCTCTTCTGAAGGCTGTCATTCCGTTTTTCCAGGTTGGATATTAAGTAAGCACTCTCTCCTCCTCCATTAAACTCATCGGTCCTCTGAAAATGCCTGTACCATTCATCCTTATAGAGCACAGTGCATCCTCAAAAATGGGAACAAAGTAGCCTATCATGTCGCAGCGGGGGAGGTGATCAGTGAGGGCCCCTGCTTCTGTGAGGTTGGCATGAGATCAGCCCATCCTGGGAAACGCTCAGCTGTGATCTCTCTCCACACAGGATCTGGAGTGGGAGAGCAGGAAGGAGGACTGATCGGTGCTGAGGAGAAAGTGATTAACAGTAAGAATAAAGTGGACGAAAATATGGTGAGCCATTTCTCCCCTCCGCCCTGCCCTGTTTTAATTTTGAGACTAATTAGAATGAGTGGCATTGTTTTAGAGGCTTTTCAAATGAACCTCCCTGTGTTCACTTTCCATATGGTAGAAGATGGGTGGGCTCCAACTGGTCCCACAAATCTGCTGTATTCTTTAGCATCTGGCTATGAGAAGGAATAAAGAATTACTTTTCAGCCGTAGCTCTCCTCTTGCGATACAGTGGGGGAAATATATTTGCAACTAAAGATATGAATAAAATATGAGAGGCCATTTTCAAGTGAGTATAGAGATTTAATAACTTGTAAATGGAATAGAGTCGGGTTTGGTTCTTATATTGCCTTTGGTTTATACACACTATTAGTTATTATTCTATCATTTTCTATCACTGATATTTCTGGATTATTGTCAACTGAGGTTTTTTTTGTTTCGTTTTGTTTTTTTAATTTTGAGAGAGAGAGCACAAGCACGCACGTGAGCAGGGAGGGGCAGAGAGAGGAAGACACAGAAACTGAAGCAGGCTGTAGCCTCTGAGCTGTCAGCACAGAGCGCGACGCGGGGCTCGAACTCACGAACTGTGAGATCATGACCTGAATCAAAATCGGACACTTATCTGACTGAGACACCCAGGCGCCCCAATATTTATTTTTAATTGTTTTTAATGTTTGTTTATTGTTGAGAGAGAGATAGATTGTGGGCAGGGGAGGGGTAGAGAGGGAGGGAGACAGAGAACTTGAAGCAGGCTCCAGGCTCTGAGCTGTCAGCAGAGAGCCCAACAGGAGGCTTGATCCCACAAATCGCGAGATCATGACCTGAGCCAAAGTCAGCCGCCTAACTGAATGAGCCACCCAGGTGCCCCCTGAGTTTGATATTTAAACGTGAATTGTTGGTAATTTATCCTGTAATGTCACTCCATAATGGTTACCTAAAGGAAAAGGCAAGTGGAAGCACTTAGGGAACTAGCTGCAATACAGTAACTTGTGTCCACACTTGCTTCTTTAGGGGTTTGGTGAGTGGATTTAGAAGAACGTGACAGAACTGCTTGGTTAGTGGGTGTCCTCAGTATCCACCTCCCTCCACCAAATAATATGTGGAGTAGAAAAGAAGCTCCATTTATGCTTAATGTCCCCTTCCACCCAGTCGCTGACATTTTCGTACCATTTCAGGTCATCGACGAGACCCTGGATGTTAAGGAAATGATTTTCAATGCTGAGAGGGTTGGCGGCCTGGAGACAGAGCCGGTACGTACGTGTTCAGCTCCGAAACCTAAATGCCAGGTTTCCCATGGGTCTTGGCTGCTTCTCTCTTGTCTTCTCATTTCAAATGGAAAACGGAGAGACGCTCGGTATCTCAAACTCTCAAAGACCCCCATCCCCAATTTCCATACTTTTGGGTAAGAAAGCTAAAATTGGGATCTCGATGGAGATTGGAAAAAGTGGGAGTTCTCCTCATAAGGATGGTCCCTTGGAAAGCAGCATCTCAGAGTTCCCTCAGTGTCGGAGTCATGACTCTACAGGGGCCTGGCCCTCCTTGAGCTGCTGGTCTCCCGCTCGCCATCTTTCACATTGTGCGAAGAGTCGCTGAGACCTTGTCGCACATTACTTTGTTATCGTAGGAATCCGTGGGGCCACTGCGGGAGGACTTCAGTCTGAGCAGCAGCGCCCTCATCGGGCTGTTGGTCATTGCAGTGGCCATCGCCACGGTCATAGTCATCAGCCTGGTGATGCTGAGGAAGAGACAGTATGGCACCATCAGCCATGGGATTGTGGAGGTGAGTAGCAGGGGCTCTCTTGTGACTTGGCCTTGAGGTGGTGATGGTTTGCTCTGTGCAGTCAGAAAGGCTTATGGAATTCAGACATCTTAACTTCTTGGGTGCTGCACTTCAATTAAATTACTCACTGGATTATTAGATCATGTTTTGGAAGTCAGTCCCAACCGAATTATGTTGGTCCTATCACAAAGGGCTGTTGCCAGCTCCGACGGTGAATGTGAGGAAACCATAAGAGCATTTTATGCTGCAGAGGGTGAAAACTTCCTGAGTGTTTTCTTCTTTCAGGCATGTTAGATATTTGAGAATGAGGACTGTTGATACTCTTTTTTATTTTTGTTCTTGTTATTGACTTGTTTTTTTAAGGAGCAAACCAGGTATACGACCAATCAGGCAACCCTGGCAATCATGAATCTTAAAAATATGAAATTGAAGTAATATTTTTTTTAACGGGGGAGAAAAGCAACAGGAAATTTAGAGCCAGAGCAGGCTGTTTTCTGTTCCGTCTTCTGCTGGTTCATAATTAGAACTGCTTACCACTCATTTTGTGGTGGGGGATGGGAATGGCCGGGGTGTCTTGGTTCCAGAAAACAAATACAGTAAAGAATATGATACGGGGCGCCTGGGTGGCTCAGGCGGCTGAGTGTCCAACTTCGGCTCAGGTCATGACCACGCAGTTTGTGAGTTCGAGCCCCGCGTCAGGCTCTGTGCTGACAGCTCAGAGCCTGGAGCCTGTTTCGGATTCTGTGTCTCCCTCTCTCTCTGCCCCTCCCCTGGTCACTCTCTCTCTCCCTCTCTCTCAAAAATAAATAAACATTAAAAAAAAATTAAAAAAAAAAAGGAATATGATACACCCTGGAAAATTGGTTCAGATGTATGTCCACCTCCTGCTGGACACCAACTTCATTATGGAATTTCAGAGCTGGAAAAGACCCCAGGGATCTTGGGGTCCCAGTCCTTATTTTCTAGGGAACGCTCCCCTGTGCTGTCCTGAACAGTAAGTAGCAGTACTGAGACGTGGTCATCACCGTGGTGCTAGGAAATTCAGTTCACTCTGGTCTCTAACTTGGACCAAGCTTTCAGGACTTGCGCTTTCAGAAGCCTCTCTGACCCTCTTCTTTTCTTTCTCCTCCTCCTGTGTCCTCCCCACCAGCTCTTGTGTGGTGTCCCCAGTGGAAATGGGACACCCGGTTGACCTCACTTCCCAGGGGAGTGCACAGCAAGCACCTTAGGTCTTCTGACGTCCTGTGCAATTCTCTTGTGGTACAGTGCAGTGATATTCCGTCTCTCTTCCTCCAGGTTGACCCAATGCTCACCCCAGAAGAGCGTCACCTGAACAAGATGCAGAACCATGGTTATGAAAACCCGACCTACAAATACCTGGAGCAGATGCAGATTTAAGTGGGAGAAAGCAAGTGGCAGCGCCTGCTGGGGGAGGTGCTGCAGGTGGGCTAGAAGGGGTCCAGCATTTTGGATCAACTACTGGACCAGCAGTGCTTCCAGAGGATTCATCTGATGTGCAGACCTTCTGGATTGTTAGGACTCTAAAGTACTACTGTAGAATCACAATCTCCATTCTTTTAAATGGGTGAAAAATGTTAATATAACAATATATGATATATAAACCTTAAATGAAAAAATGATCTATTGCAGATATTTGACTGATGTAGTTTTCCTTTTTTAAATTAATCAGAAATCCCACTTCCATTGTATTGTCTCACATACGCGCTCTGTAAATGGGAAATGTTGGTTTTTGGTGATAGACTGTATATGCAGGCCGTTCCAGCTGTATTGTATGCGTCACTCCTTTAGGCTCATTCACTGTCCTGGTTTTTATTAGGAAAAAAACAAAAAAAACAAAAAAACCTAAGGCAGTATTCCCTTGTTAAATGAGATAGCTTTCAGAAAGTTGCCCAGAAACTAAATGTTAAAGGGAACCGTGATTGACCATTCAAACACATCATGATACTCTTGCAAAATTATTTTAAAGGACCAGTTCTTTGGAAGTCAGGTGTTCCCAGTGCTGGGTACCTTGGTGTCACAAGGAGGTTAAAAGTATTTGAGCCCCGGCATCTTTTAGTGAGAGCCTCACGTATACAGGTTAGGGCATCCACTACTGCTTTCCTTCTGAATCCAGTTCTTCCACAGAAATTAGCCTGTAGTTTGTATATGACGTTCTTCCACTGTCTGCCGTTACTGACCGTAGCTTTTTACTGCTCACTTCCCTTCCAAGTAACGTCCATACGTGCTGTCTTTTCCTCTTTGGACATTTTCCCCCGGAAGGCACTGGCCCTCAACCCTCCCCACTGTACCTTGACTTCTCTGCCCACCCTCTCCCGGCACCAGCCTCTCTGCTGTTCAAAGACCACAGTGGTAGGTGGCCGTGCGCCTGGGAGGGAAGGTGGGGGGCTTTGACGTGCAAGGAGGATGTTCCATGTTTTATGCGAAACGCTCTGTAGACACCGTGGAAAATTTTGGAGATTGTTTCCTTCACCTGAGTCTTTGTGATGCTTGTATAGTGGATGATGCTCACAGCTTTTTCTTTTTCTTCTGTTGTTTCTTTCCTTTTTTTTCTCCTTCCCTCTCCCCCTCTTTTTTTT